AACGTTTTGGATTGTGTTCGCCTACTCAGACGGTTTCTGTAAATGTGAGCAAAATTTGGACAAAAACGGATTTAAAAAAGAAACAACAGGATCCTTTGTGACTGCTGTGTGTGCTCAAAGCAAAATTGTATTATGTATTTGACTTGGACTACCCATGCAGTAATCTACGGACTGTTTTGGAATATTTTAAAACATTGGCTGGTGGTATTTTTACACAAAACTACAAATTTGAACTAATTTAGTGATCAATTTAACATGCAGGTGTCGAAAAATAAAATTATTCTCGTACGATGTGTATTTATGTTTGTTTTTTTTCCTACAGGACAACAGACAAAAGGGTTCTTTTTTTTATCGAAACGTGTGTTAAATGTTAAACACCAGTTTCAGAATTAACACGTTAAAGCGTGAATTAAGTGTTTCCAGGGTTTTTAACGTGTAATGCGTTAATTTTATTTAGCATTTCTACATGTTAATAGATTAACACACACGTTAATGTATTCACACTTTAACGCGTGAATTAAGTGTTTCCAGAATAGTGTTAATAATTGTGTTAAATTATTTACACTTCTTTTTACAGTGTACACTGAATTGACGACGGATTTTTCCGTTATTTCCTGATCATAACCAGGAGCAACGGCGGGTGTGACCGGTCAGCAGGTAACGCTCACTCCTCCATGGCACCTGATCCCACCTCTGATGTTTTGGAGGTCCGTGTTTGCTCTGCTCCTATTTTGTATTGTTTTATGGACTTTGAAATTGAATATTATTACTGTTCGTTATCGCCCCAAATCCTTCTCTTGTTTATGACCTTGGAGTTTGACCCATTTTTACAAAAAATACCAACCATTAACAACAACTTTCAAACAGTTGGTGCCAGGGCTTTCATACTTCACATATGTATTCATTGTGACAAGACTTTTCAAATGGTATAAATATTCTTGACCTTTTGACCTTGACCTTAGAGATTGGCCCACTAAAAACTTAAACCGTGGTCATTCCTTTTGAACAGTTTTAGGGCTTTCAAATTTCGCAGGTTTATTCCTTGTGAAAATACCTTCCTCTTGATACCAACAGTTTAGATCTTGATCTTGGGGTTTGACTTGCATTTGGAAAGTTTAACCTTCGCCATAAGCTGCAATACGGGGGTATCAGTCTTTCATTACCATAGCTTGTGTGGATTTTGTTGTTGTTGATGTTGTTGTTTTTTGTTTGTTTGTTTGTTTTTATTTTTTTGGGGGGGGCGGGGGGGGTAAGAGCAACAATATGACAATGACCATCGAGAACTTTAAAAAATTGTTCAGGCATTGCTTGAAGCAGTGGTTTCAGTGAAGAATGTTTGTCAAATAAATTTTAATAATGAATTTGACTTTCTAAAAGCTAAATAACAATAAAAGTAAATGAAAATTAACTGGGCGGCTTAATGGAGTAAAGATCGAAAATGTCAAATTTCTCTACTTTCAGAATACAATAAAAAAAGGAAAGAACGATTCAAAAATTGATATTTTTAAAACGAAAAATAATGCAGACATATACCTGTCGCCAGAGTTCAGTCGATATTTGTTTTCCTCCATCATGGAATACCCTATTTGTACTACTTATTTCGTAATATATCGAACTTTTATACTGAAATACGAAATCACTCACAATGTACATTGAAATTGATTATCGATGCTGTCATAAAAAATTCGATGTTCTTGTTGACTTTATCCCCATATTCGTACTTCTCCATCTATATACAAAGGATTCTACAGCAGAAAAACAATTTGTCTTTTAAAAGAAAATAGATTACATTGTACCAAGTTAAGAAACCTTAAACAAGATAGCCATTGTTTGATATAAAATCCACGTACAGGTTCAATAAAGATTTCAAAGTTTAAAGTGTTATAGTAAGTTATAATTTTTTATGCCTCCAAAAAGTTTTTAATGACGTTTTCAATTAATAAGAAAATAATTCAAGACAATCTCTTGTTTGTCTCTTGGTTTGTAGAGACACAAGCCATGTCACTGTAGTTTGTTTAACGTCCTTTCGAAAATTTTTCACTCATATTGACCACTTGCCGATGAAGGGTTGTCGACACTTTCGGTTTTTGAGGAATCTCTTTCGTGCCAGCACTAACTGCGACAAATACCATCTGTTTATACTGTTTCAACCGAGGGACCGGTCTCCGCGTTTCGCACTGAGATTCGAAAAGGCGACGGTCAACACCTCATCGTACAGCAATAGCTCTATTTCTAACTTCATCATTTTGTAAACTGGGGTAGCTACTGGCAAATAAGTTGGTGTTACAGGGATTTCATCATCATCGCATTCTTTCAATTTTATAGTCCATATAAGGCCCTTGTTAGCAAATATAATCTATCATTATCTTTTTTTTTTAATTTTGTCTGACGTGTTTTATACCAACTGGTCAGTCTTTCGTTTCTATTCAGTCCGTATTTGACCACTTAATCTTCTACCTGATCAATCCAAGGGCTCACAGTTTGTGTGCCAGGTTGACCTTGGATGATTACTTCTCCTTGGCACCTTATCCTATCTCTGGGATTTCTAGAGGTACGTGTTTGATGTTGTAGATCTTTCAAACACTGTATGTTCGTAATCTTCATCCTTTTCAGTATCGGCTTCAAATACTTTTGACCAAAAGGCCTTATTTTTTATTTTATTCATATTTCTGATGGGAAAAAAGGAAAAAAATATCTGAATTAATTATTATAGCAAAACTTTTCTAATCCGGTCATAAAAGTTATTCGGATCGGATTCTTTCTTTCAATTGGTGAGCAAAGTCAAAGTGCAAATGTTTTAAAAGGAAATGAATAAAATATCTCTAAAGTGTATATAGGTCGTCTATATTTGACAACCGACCATTATCTAGGAGAGGCCTGATGTTACTGAAGGTTAAATAAACGAAGTCATATACTGATAGTCTGAAGGGTCTTTTGAAAAAGTATTTTAAAAGTCTTTTAAAAATATTGATGCCTATTAAAGATATCATCAGTTTTTGAGTGCGGCCGGACTCCGATATAGATTTTAGGCTTTGGTTAACCGGCTGATATATATTCATTTCCAAAATTTATATAAAAAATGATAATAAACAAATAAATAAATAATTAATTAATTAAAAAAAAGATAAATAAGGTTTTGCATATGTCCATTTTTTTTTCAACGAATGAATATGAAAATGAAATGAATACAGATATATTAGATATTGTGGATTAGATGTATATATAAGGATTGAATTATGCAGGTGGTAATAAATCTAACTTTTACCCATAGCTCCTTTTTTTTAAGGAGAAAATTCATCAAAACCATATGTCAGTTTGAAATATTTTTAGATAATCACAACATTCAGTATGAATTTGATTTACCATTCCAATGCTAAATTATAAAATTCCATAAAAATCCTTGCAAACATGCAAAGATACATAGTGGGCTCTAGTAAATGTTCTTCCAAACCTCCAACTTTACTCCTTACCAAAATACTAGTAAAATGTATTTACAGCAGTGAGGGAGAAACTTCATGATCAGAAGTTCTGTGCAACAATATATTTGAGAAGTAGTGTCAATCAGAAATTGGTGCTTTAAAACTGAGAAAATTTTAGAAAAACTACCAATATCAATAACATCAAAATGTGCGACTTTTCAATACTTTTTAAACCATACGTTAATTGAAATACAGCTAGCTTATTGACGTCATAGATATGCTTTTTAGTAAATTAGTAAATATTTGCAAAATTATTTAGTTACAAACATTATGACATATTATTCATGACATACATCTTTACAAGTATTCTGAAGATGAAATTGATCTTGTGATTGACAATATCTACATATATCATTTTGCAGATTTTGGAAATCAGGTTTTCAAACAATCTGCTGGAGGAATCCCTATTGGGTACAAATTGTGCTCCGTTTTTAACAGACCAATTTTTTTTTTATTCATATGAAAAAGAATTAAAAAAAAAATAAAAACACACGCACACACACACACCCTCACACTGAAAACAAACACAAAGCTAGAATACTTGTTGTGACCTTCAACTCGACAGTTATATATATCAACTACTTATTATCAAATACTAATAGTTATATACTTCCATTCATATGTCTAAATTATATATCCCAGTGAATTTGAAATAAAAGATACCATAGAGTCTGTCTGAAACATCTATTTAATATCTGTATATTTTACAAGAAAAAGATATAATGATAACCTCAAGTAAGTTAGTTATAAAGGTAGTCTTTGATAAACGTGATGACTTCAACTTTTGAATCGTCAACTTCCCTTTCTTATGTTACAATATACACTTATCACCTATATATGGGATTTATGTTCCTCAATTGATTAGATTCGCAACAGTATGATATAGCTTATATGTATGGACAATTTCTAAAACGGGGCATCCTATTGACAAACAAATTCATGAAACAAGGATATCAAAAGTCTCGTTTGAAGTCATTATTTCGCAAGGATTTTTTTGTCGATACAATGACCTTTAACAAATTCATGCTGTCAATGAGTCAAATGCTGACTGACTTTTTCCGTACTTATTGTCAGGCCATTATTACATAATGTCTAAGTTTTTTTTCGATTTAATTTTCCATGATCATGACAAGTAGCAAACTACCGGTCGGCAGGGATGCTCACTCTTCCAAAGCATCTGATCTCTCTTCTGATGTTTTGGGAAGTCCGTTCTTTTCCAGGTATGCTTTCAAGAATGGACTTTTAGATATTCTTCATTCTTCCAACCCCCTCCCCCCCCCCCTTCCTTCTCGACCTCGCCTCTCATAATCAAATGGCCAACTTCTTTATGATCATGTATTTATAAACTTTATGCACGTTCTGATTTTTATTTTTATTTATGCATTGCTTATGCTATACATATGACTGAATTCGGTAATTCTTCCTCATTTCGTCTCCGTCTTCTCTCCGATAGGATCATCCGGATTTCCCTTCTCCATACACATTGGTTTAGATTTAGTACGATGGATATGTTTCCGATGTAAATTTATATATATAAAAAAATTCTTTGTTACTTTATTCATGTTATTAGTTCATAAATTTGCCTAAATTTGAAGTTATGACAGAATCTGGACTGTGACAAAATGGAGGAAGACTTCAACCCACCAACAGTTTGTCCAGACGGCAGATGCCGGGATCTGACCGATGATTTCATCTACATCGTTATCGTTCCCCTTCTCATCGTTCTCATCGTGGCTGCTGTCCTCGCTGTGGTGTTGTTTCGTCGGAAGACTAAAAGGTTTATAGAATTTTCTCATATAACTTAGAGTTGCTAGAATAGAGATCAAAAGAATTAAGCATGAGAACATAAACATATATATGACTTATATGTATTATCATAGGCGTCGGAACCGGGGGGGGGGGGGGGGGGGGGGGGCTAAGCCACTTTTTTGCAAATATACACATAATATAGGCAATGAAAAGTGAGGTTGACCCCCCCCCCCCACTTTTTTGCAAATATATACATAATATACAGGTCCAGTACAATCACTAGATTTAGCTACGTACTAGGTAGAATTACCTACGTAGCTTTATTTACCTACCTCAGGTAGCTTTATTTAGCTATTTCAAGGTAAGCCACTTTTTTGCAAATATACACATAATATAGGCAATGAAAAGTGAGGTTGACCCCCCCCCCCACTTTTTTGCAAATATATACATAATATACAGGTCCAGTACAATCACTAGATTTAGCTACGTACTAGGTAGAATTACCTACGTAGCTTTATTTACCTACCTCAGGTAGCTTTATTTAGCTATTTCAAGGTAAGTTTTCAAAAGTTTTCTTTTTATTAAAAAGAGACAAAAAGTCGCAATTAAATGACTATTGAAATTTATTCTAGGGAGGCTTAAAAAGGCAATCCAAAGCAGAGATAGTTTATACATTACTGCGTTTGGACAATTTAGAGCAAAACATGTAATTCCATTGTTTGGTTAGCTGTCCGTGCAGTTAGGCATGACTGAGTATGATTACTTCACATTGTGCTGAATAATTACTGACCTATTATCGTGTTAACCGGAACTGGACTTCTTTGTCATTTCATCCAAGGGGTAATGTTCTAACTGTCATACATATTAGCCCCAAAACTTTCAGAACTTTGATTGCAATTGCGCAGAAAAAGACATTTTTTCAAGAGGGATTTTTTCATGAGAACGTTTTCAGATGAGTTCAAAGTTGTAAATGATCACTGCATCAAAATAATATTTTCTGCACACCCTGAGAAAAATGCTTTTAAATAGAAATAAACCAATTTGGTAGCTAAATAAAGCTACCTCAGGTAGGTAAATAAAGCTATGTAGGTAAATCAAGCTACGTAGCTAAATCTAGTGATTGTACCAGACCTGATATAGGCAATGAAAATTGAGGTTGACCTTTTATTGTTGGATTAGCGTGCTCCCCCCCCCCCCCCCCCCACACACACTTTCAATTAGTCTCCCCTTTCAATTTGATTCCGACGCCTATGATTATAATGGACAGATAAAAATTCAAATTGATCAGTGTGGATGATTTGAACATATGAATTGCCAAAAAAAAAAATTACAATAAATAAAATTTAGTGTTGCTTGCCCAACCTGTTTATTTCAAGCAGTTGTAGCTTTTAGGCTTTTGGGCCGCATGGATATTGGATATGATTCTGTTGCCTCTTCTGATAAAGGACTGCAAACCAAATTTTATCTGTGCGAGAAATATCAACAAGTTTCACAGCCTATTTAACTTGCGAATATATTATATTTATAGAGAATGTTTCCTCAGTTGTAAAAATTAATACATCCAAAATGTATTCAAAATATATAATATAAAATATGGCGCAAATAATAGTTGGTTTACATTCAGTAATATAAGTGAGAGAAAATGGTGTTACACTTAATTAAACTGAACAATATTGTGACATTGCTTTTTGTTTTCTTTTACAGAGTTGAATCTCCGGAAGAAAATGGGCAAGTACATTGTAATACCTTGTGTAAAAAGTTTAAAGTTTAGAGCCAAAATAAATTGAATCAGTTGCATTTTCATTTATCAGATATTTGTAAAGTACTTTGAGTGCTATAGCATCTTTTTATAAAATTGTTCTTGCTTATTTATAAACAGTGTTCAGCTGGCCAGGTACAATTCAATTCGCCGAGCTTCACAAAACATCAGAGAACTGTCCAATCACAGGGATTCTATGCTGTCAACAAGTAGAAGTGGGTCAATGTCATTCATAGATGCAGAGAGGCCCCAAAGAGGGGGTCGGCCATCTAGAAATTCTACCTACTCTGCACCCTCCACACTTCAGAGGTAAATCACTCTTTTAAGTAGAGATGTGAAAAAGATATTAAATTCATTTGCCTTTTTACTCTGCATTACTTATGAGGTAAAGTATCGTATGAAAGAGTCATAGGGAACTTACGGATGTGTATCAGGACCCTCAAAAACTTTGAAAATATAGGCATGTTTATGCATATTTAAAAACAATTTTAAGGTTTTTTACCCCTCCCACCATGAAAAAAAGAGAGAGAGATAAATTTTAAAAAATAACAACCACTTATGACCTTTTCTATCATTTTTAGCTCACCTGAGCTGAAAGCTCAAGTGAGCTTTTCTGATCACATTTTGTCCGTCGTCCGTCTGTCCGTCTGTAAACTTTTAGGAAACTTACAGGAAAATTCTTAAAAAATCTTCTTCTCAAGAATAGCAAAGCCATAATTGATCATATTTATATGGAAGCATCCTCAGGTAGTGTAGATTCAAATTTGTTCAAGTCATGACCCCCGTGGGGTAGGGCGGGGCCAAAATGACCGACCACAGTTTTGCATAGAAATATATAGGAAAATTCTTTAAAAATCTTCTCAAGAATAGCAAAGGCATGAATGGTCATATTTATATGAAAGCATCCTCAGGTAGTGTAGATTCAAGTTTGTTCAAGTCATGACCCCCGGGGGTAAGGCGAGGCCAAAATGGCCGACCAAAGTTTTACATAGAAAATTATAGGAAAATTCTTTAAAAATCTTCTTCTCAAGGATAGCAAAGCCATAATTGATCATATTTATATGGAAGCATCCTCAGGTAGTGTAGATTCAAGTTTGTTCAAATCATGACCCCCGGGGGTAGGGTGAGGCCACAATGGCAGACCACAGTTTTACATAGAAATATATAGGAAAATTCTTTAAAAATCTTCTTCTCAAGAATAGCAAAGCCATGATTGATCATATTTATATGGAAGCATCCTCAGGTAGTGAAGATTCAAGTTTGTTCAAATCATGACCCCCTGGGGTAGGGCGGGGCCAAAATGGCCGACCACAGTTTTACATAAAAATATACAGGAAAATTCTTTAAAAATCTTCTTCTCAAGAATTGCAAAGCCATAACTGATCATATTTATATGGAAGCATCCTCAGGTAGTGTAGATTCAAATTTGTTCAAATCATGACCCCCAGGGGTAGGGCAGGGCCACAATGGCCGACCACAGTTTTACATAGAAATATATAGGAAGATTCTTCCATAATTGATCATATTTATATGGAAGCATCCTCAGGTAGTGTAGATTCAAGTTTGTTCAAATCATGACCCCCGGGGATAGGGCGGAGCCAAAATGGCCGACCACAGTTTTACATAGAAATATATGGGAAAATTCTTTAAAAATCATCTTCTCAAGAATAGAAAAGCCATGATTGGTCATTGGACTATTTTTGGATTTAAACTTTTCAATAATGAACCAATTGCTACTTATTCCTAGCCACAGTGCTCAGGTGAGCGATGTGGCCCATGGGCCTCTCATTAAAGAATTTCTGTGTGTGCCTCTGTTCTAAATTGAAATTGATTGGTATTATTCAAATTTCTTTCAGAGAAAGAAGACATACAACATCAGATGAAAGAACCTCCCCACCCACCTATACAGAACTATTCTCTTCTTTTGGTCATCCCCCAAGGGACAATCACTCTGACAGGTAAGATAGTAAAAGCACTTATTTTGGGGGTTTAAATTTTGTGGGCAAAGAAAAAAGGTCTATTCATCAGGATTTGATTTCATGGTTGACAAAGTGTTGATTACAAAATTTGAAATTTTACATTTTGTGGATGGCATAAATTAGTGTTTCACTTCGAACCACTTAAAAAACCAAAAAATTAAAACCCAATAAAAGTAAGTAAATACACTGTATAATAGTGTGTCTTAATTTCTTTGAGGCAGAAGTCTCTTTGTAGCATAGTTTTATTTTGTAAGCTTGTATAGATTTAATTTTACTCACTTTATTTCGCATTAAATTAAAATATCTGATTCATGACTTACTGAAATCCTCAGTACATTTATCAAAATTGATTATAGAAATTTGCCAATCATGCATGATGCCCACTTGTATATCATTTGTATCATGATAGTATATTTTAAAAAATTAATATTCAATACAGTATACATATTTAAAACTTTGCAGATCTAGTCTTCGAGTTCCATTGGTCTATTATCAACACAGTGGAGAAGAAAGAGCAGTAATCCATAATTAGGGCCCCGCAAGGATTTGCGGGTGCCCTATAGTAATCACTCTGTCTGTCCGTCTGTCTGTCCGTCTGTCTGTCCGTCTGTCACTCTTCCGTCCACAAATTTTCTGTTTTTTTCTAATAACTTTTTTTATGGTTGCCCAATCAAGTTTAAATTTGGTATGGTAGTTCAATAGGCAGAAATACATATTTTGATGCTAAATTTAATTCTCTATGTCTTCTGGTTTGGAGCTGGGGTGGTGGGGTAGATTCCTTAACTATGCATAAGAATGAACTTGCAACTTTTTTTATGGTTGCCCAATTAAGATCAAATTTGGTGCAGTAGTTCAGTAGGCAAAAATACATATTTTGATGCTAAGTTTGGTTCTAAATGTCCCTTGGTTTGGAGCTGGGGTGGTGGGGTAGATTCCTTAACTTTATATAAGAATGCATTGGCAAAGAGAGATAACTGCTGAAGTTGTTCCCATTCAGTAAACTGAATGCTTCTAGGAGCCCCATGGGATTAATTAGCTTTCCTCCGGAAGAAAATTCAGAGCATTATCTTTATCTGTCACATTGAGATTAATTACCACCTCTGTCTGCAAATGAAGTTTGTTTTGAAGTTAAATCAATTTGGAATGCTATGAACACTCTGAAATGTGGATGATTTAAATATAATTTTTTATTTATTTTTGTTTGATAGTTATGATTTCATTGAATTCTAAAAAAAAAAAAAAAAAAATTGATTAAAGAAGATTTTTTATTTACCAGGGTACTTTTTTTTCTCACTTTTTTCACTTTTTTTTTTAAATATATTAATTTAAGAATATTTTAAATTTTAATGTAGTTGTATAAAAACCCCATTCTATCATTAATACTGAAAAAGTTCTTATTGTAAATTTAGAAGAAAATGATGAGAGAGGTACAATTAATCCCTTGGGATTATCTAGCCTGCTGCAGAAAATTTAGTAGGCTTTTCTTTATCTGTCACTTTAAGATTAATGAAAACCTTTGTCTGCAACTGCTGTTTGTTTGAAGTTAAGGTCAAGCCTTCATGATATTTGCATTCATTGAAGGCTGGCATTTTATATAACACAAGATTCATAATTGATTGAAAATACACTCAATGTTAAGTTGTTCTTTACTGCCTAATGTAAATACAAGGATATTATTTTCAGGTTTTTGAATATTCGGGAATTATCTTGAAATTTTAAGAATACAGTTGCTGTTGCTTTTTCTTTGTACATTTATTAATCATTCTGTAAGCTGCACCCTTTTAATTCTTCCCCATGGCGGGGCCCTTGCTGACTGGTCAGTTTTCTAGTTAATAACAAGGATTAATTGATAACTCAATGAATTAAATAAAAAAAAAACTATTGATTCTACCATATAATACAAAAGAAGTGTTTAACATTGCATTTTGAAATGAGAAGACGTCATGAAACTTATTTTTTATTTTCTATACATTACTGAAAATCAGTTATTTCATGCATGTTATTGATAAAGGAGAAAGATTTGTTATGCATAATTTATATTATTGATTAGACATATTTATTAATAAGGTGTGTGTTTTAGAAATAGCAATAGTAAAATAGTACTCAAAGCATAAGGTCAACAAAAAAAATTTTTATTTGTAACATCTTATAAATTTTTGAAAGTGATTGTTCATATGAAAATATATCAGTTTACATGGTCAACTAGTTTTGAGATTTAAGAGTATGTACTACTGTATGTTGAAATCCCTATTGAAACAATGCCCACTTTTTAAATAATTTATTTCTCCTGTTCACATTAACTAAAATTTTTGCCCCCTTTTATTGCATTCAGACATGTTTGTATGAAAAATTAAAGGTGCTTATGGACATAGATTTAAGTTAATATTTTTTCAAATGTTCGGTTATATATCAAGAAATATGTTTCCATAGCATTTCACATTGAAATATAATAAAAAGCTAATTTTATCTGGAAATTATTTAATTTAATTTTCTGAATTAAAGTTTTATATTTTTCATTAACACACAACAAAATTTCTACTTTTCTTAAGTTAACTCTGTGAAAGTGCATAGATGTGTCAATTAAATGGGTTCGAAATTCATAGTTTCAGGTTTCAAGAATTTCCAGATATAGTATATTTTTGAAATGCTATGTACATCTGAAATGCTTTAGCAATTAATTATTCATGATATTGTACCGATAACTTGAAAAAAAATATTAACTTCAAATCAGTGTGTCCAAGCATCTTTAATGCTGTCTTTGAATTTTCTCTTTTTTTAAAATTACTCCATTTAAACCAGGGCAAAGATGGTGAAAACAATATATGGGTGAAATTCTCAAGCATTTAATATGTAGGCGTTAGAAAATGCAATTTATTTACCAGTATTAAACTTTGATATTATGTTGAATACAAAATGTTGTATACAAAAAATGTTCAACCGTGGTGCTCTTACGAAACAATACTCAGAATGTTTTTGTGATTTAAGATTTTTTCATATTGTTGTTTTTATAAATGATATTTTTTTCACATGAAAGATTATACATGTATGTTGTTGTTGTTGTGTTTACTTTAATATAAATGGTGCTTTTGCTATTAATTTCTAAAATGTATTAATTGTACTCCCCTTAAATGTAGATAAATATTATCAAACTTATCATGTCTTTTTTTTTTAGCTCACCTGAGCTGAAAGCTCAAGTGAGCTTTTCTGATCACATTTTGTCTGTAGTCCGTCTGTCTAGCTGTCTGTCCGTCTGTAAACTTTTCACATATTCGACTTCTTCTCAAGAACCACTGGGCCAATTTTGACCAAACTTGGTACAAAGCATCCTTGGGAAATTTAAATTGTAAAAAATGAAGGACCAAGTCCCCTCACAATGGGAGATAATCAAGAAAAGACAAAAATTGGGTGGGGTTATTAAAAAATCTTTTCAAAAACCACTGGGCCAGAAAAGCTGAAACTTATGTGGAAGCATCCTGGGGTAGTGTAGAATCTTAATTGTTCAAATCATTATACCCCCAGGGGTTGGACGGGGCCACAACAGGGAATCAAAATTTTACATAGAAATAAATAGAAAAATATTTGAAAATCTTCTTCTGAAGAACCACTGGGCCAGAAAAGCAGAAACTTATGTGGAAGCATCCTGGGGTAGTGTAGATTTCAAATTGTCTAAATTATGATCAGTTGGGTAGAGTGGGGGTCACAATATGTAATACAAGGGGGAAATCTGGTAAAGGACAGAATGGTCAAAGCTTCTCAGGTGAGCGATGTGGCCCATGGATGATGGGCCTCTTGTTTTATCCAATTTTGTAAAGATTTACTTTTTATTAGGAGTCTAGTAAATTTAGCACACAGACGTTTTGTGTATTGGAGTGCAGGAAAGGAAAATCGACCAAATCATACGTCATCGCGGCAAAATGTCAAACATAATTCCTTTCTGTAGTTCCAATAAAATTTGCACTTCAAATGACAATAATTTTTATATGTCATAAGTGCATTTGTATGTTGAGTTTACCATGTATCAACAAACCTGTAGGGCAGAACCTTCGCGAGCCCGACGTGAGTGCACAGGCACCTGAAGTATGGATAATGCCCCCCCCCTTTTTTTTTTAATAAAAATAATGTAAGAGTGTATAATATCTCAAAATTATGATGTAATTTATTTCTTTTGTTCTCCATCTGAACCCCATTCCCACTTAGCCAACACAGATTTACCTGTGTTTTTTTTCAAAATGTTGGCTAAGTGGGAAGACACCCCTCAACCGGGGTAAGGCAGGACCATAATTATAGCTGATCAAAATTTTACATGAAAATATGTAGGAAAATTCTTTGAAAATCTTCTTCTCAAGAATAACAAAGCCATAATAGATCATATTTATATGGAAGCATCCTCAGGTAGTGTAGATTCAAGTTTGTTCAAATCATTACCTCCGGGGGTAGGGCGGGGCCACAATTGCCGATCAAAGTTTTACATCGAAATATTTAGAAAAATTCTTTTAAATTCTTCTTCTCAAGAATGGCAAAGGCATTATTGATCATATTTATATGGATGCATCCTCATGTAGTGTAGATTCAAGTTTGTTCAAATCATGACCCCCGGGGGTAGGGCGGGGCCACAATGGCCGGACAAAGTTTTACATAGAAATATATTATAGGAAATTTTTTAAAAATCTTCTTCTGGAGAACCACTGTGCCAGGAAAGATGAAACTTATAGGGAAGCATCCTTAAGTTGTGTAGATTCAATATTGTTCAAGTCATGACCCCTGGATGTGGGGCGGGACCATAATGATAGTTCAAATGTAAAAGACAATAAAGCTAAAGATAAACTGATTTCTGCATTTTTCCTAGCCACATTGCTCAGGTGAGCGATGTGGCCCATGGGCCTCTAGTTTTTACTGTGAGGTATTTTTCTTTCTTTTTTATTTTTGTTGTTGTTGTCATATTAAATAGATTATCATTTAAAGAAATAAAGATTAATTCAGTTTTGTTATATTTTTTCTAGAGGCTTGCTCCCGATCAGTACAAAAAATATCTAAATTATAAAATCGATCTATATAACGATAACAGTTAAAACGACTTTTTAGCTGTTGTTCAATATTTTTTTTATAATCCGGTAGCAAACCCATGCGAGTTGTGAATGGGTTTTTTTAAAAACTGTGTACACATGCCACAAAATTCCCTTTCTTGTGTCTCTCTATAATACTTTATATGTCATAAGTGCATTTGTATGTTGAGTTTACCATGTATCAACAAACCTGTAGGGTAGAACCTTCGCGAGCCCGACGTGAGTGCACAGGCACCTGAAGTATTGATAATGCCCCCCCCCCTTTTTTTTTAATAAATATAAAAATATTTTTTCTAGAGGCTTGCTCCCGATCAGTACAAAAAATATCTAAATTATAAAATCGATCTATATAACGATAACAGTTAAAACGACTTTTTAGCTGTTGTTCAATATTTTTTTTATAATCCGGTAGCAAACCCATGCGAGTTGTGAATGGGTTTTTTTAAAAACTGTGTACACATGCCACAAAATTCCCTTTCTTGTGTCTCTCTATAATACTTCGGGTTATCTCTCTTGTTTTCATTAATAGAAAATTATCTCGTCTACCATCATCAATTTCTCATGTATTTTTTAAAAGCATTCTGAACTATGTTTTTTTTCTTTTCTGTAAGAAGAAGTTAGTCGAATTTCAATTTTGACAAAATACAAATTAAGCTTTAAAACAAAATACAACCAGAGGTACTGTGAGCAATGAGCTCACTAAATGATACCCCCGCCTCCCATATGATTATAATGGAAAAGTCCATGTTTTGTTGTGGCCAGGAAACCCAAAATATGTGTCGGATCAAAAAGTAAAATAGGAGGATGTATCTGTGAAAGTTTTATTAAATTTCACTCAGTGGTATAAGGGGAGTTGCGGATAAGAGATGGGTACCCCAAATCGTAACAGACGGACGGACGGACGGAAATACCGATTACTATATACCCTCCCCTTTTCAAGCGGGGGGTATAGCAAGAGTTTATGCAACATACAGTCACATGCACTGATCAGTGATTCAATCTTTATATGTTGTGAATGGTGGAGCGGATCAATATCCTTTGCGATAGTATAAATAATGTCTTAGTACGTATCCTCAAACAGGTCCTCATGTAGATCTATAAAATCGCATTCATTTGTCCATATAACGGGCATTCTATACGCCAGTCAATCACCTTGTCTGCAGCTTCTTACACTAAATGAATTATACAGAGTCTACTATATCTAATAGATGATCTACATAAGCTCGATCAAATCGATCTTGAATCAACTTCTGTCATATCTTTTTTTCTTAAAAATTAACCAGTGGATATAGATACAAACAAAAATTAAAATAGGAATGAAAATAAATTTTTATTATCACAATTCACTTTTAATTTAACTGCAAAAGTAAGTTTAAAAAACGTAAACTCGTGGTAAAAAGAATCTGCGTTGACTCTGCAACGTAACACCTTTATGACGTTATTTCTTTGTTTTAGTAAAAATGCCATAAGCATCCTTTTCTCATGGGCGCAATCATTTAATTATTTAAGGTAATCCATTGGCAAACTCTCTGTATTCTCATTTCTGTAGCTGTTTGTATGTTGTAGAATGGTGCTTGTCTGAGAGATTGTTCGTATGAGTATAGAGCAGCCTGGGGGTTCCCTGTCACCTGTTGACAGATCCCCAGAATCTGCCACGATATGTCTCTGAGATCTATTGATATAATATTACAAAGCTGATCCTGATCATAGTGAACTAGGGTCTGTAGATCATCTAGAGCTGTTCGTGCTCGCATTGTGTCTACATGTCTGTAGCACAAGATCTCTAGCATGTAGAACAGTACCAAGGATGGTACAAATAAAAAAGGCCAGTGGTTCTGTTGAGCAGACTGTTGTTCAGGTATCAGTTCACTGATGTATTGGATACTTTTGTCAAGTCTGATATCCCATGCTACAGCCTGTCTCATCTTTGTAGACCAGGACTGTCCCCCTACAGCCTCCGTATACATCTCTGTATCTATAATCAAGTTGTTATACATCACATATGACTGTGCTAACTTGACATTGATCATCTCTATAATAGATACAGTTTCCCTGTATCTAAGTGTCTTGTAGTAATACATGGCTATGTACAGCATGTCTGTAATACAACCAAACTTGGCTGCTAATTTCAGCATGTGACAGGACATTTTGTCAGCTCTATACCTCGTTTTGTTGTCAGATGTGTAAGTTTCCATGTGTAATATAAAAGCAGTGTACTGAAGGACCATAGCGGTCATGTTCTGTAGCATAATGACTTGATACTGTGTCAGAAGGGGTGAACCTATCATCTGTTCTATTGTATGTAGATATCTAATGCACCTTTGTATGTCCACTTTCTGCATTGTTCTATAATTTAGTATTTCACCAAATAGATTAATATCAAACCTAAACTCAGAAATCAGAGTATGATCATCTGTACTGCTGGAGTTTCGGGGGTTATGGAGGACATCTATAATATGAGACCTAATGGAGGGACTGTGTAGCAGGAATGCTAAGCCCTTCTCATACAACTCTGACAATCTAATAAATAATTGATGTTGTTTGACGCCATGAATTTTACTCAGAAACATGTTGTTACCTGGAATGAAAAAGTTAGGACAGACCCCCTCATAAACCCATTTGAGGATGAGTTTAAAACAGACCCAGAAACCCCCCAGGAAATTTTGTGGACACCATTGAAGTATTGTATTTTGTTGAATCACCCAGAAAACTGCCGTCTTCATGTGATAGGAACACAGTAATTTATCATCATCACCTACTCCATTGTTAATTATTTCTGTTAAGATCAATTTAAGTAAGCCGTAAGTTAAGAATTGACAGTGATTCATTACATACACAAGTTTTTGTTCTGCTTGGGAGAAAGAAATTCTCCATTCATGATCTTCATGATTTCCTAGCTTATGTCCAATTGCTACAAAGTGACATCCATTTTTCACTATATCATCAACAACATGAGGCTGGGGCCATGAGTGACATCTGCCTATCCATGAGGAGGCAGATGGAGGCCAAAAGTCACTAACAAAACAGGAGGCTTGATCAAATTCTACTGGTCCAATTGTTCCACTGACACAGGGTCCATGTGGATGTAGTGAGGCAGATAAAAGAATCTGTCTGTATTTAGAACTAGATACATAATATCTGGTATTAATTCTAACACACGCTTCCTGGATTTTTCTGTTCATGCTTGGTGACAGTAAATATAACAAAGTAAATCCTGGTGGACTATTAGAACAGTCACAGAGGATCAGTGTCTGTCTGTGTGTGTTGTAATATTGAGACTGAGATAATTCACAGATCACACGATGATTATTTGGCCAGTACATAAAGTCTACATCTGAATTTTTCAATCGGAATCCTTCTCTGTAACTTCCACTCAACAAACCATAGTACTCATCACTTGCTATCACATGATTTTCCACCATCTCCCAAAAGTCAATCAAATCTCTCCTCATGGCCACCAGTTGTGAGGTCCCCAATTCTCGACACAGTCCCACAAACACCGACTCTGATATGCGTTGTATGGCTTTAGTACTGAGAATGATTTAAGTGGAATTTATATTCTTGTATAATTAATGTTTCAATTTTGTAAATCTGTATTTATAATTTTCATAATTGATAAGCTTAATGAATTATTATATTTTATCAAAAAGATATATTGACAGTGTATATTTTCTCTTAATTAAAAATGAATTTTTACATTCATACATCATAAAATAAAAAAAAATCCTCAACTGAATCAGTTATTTTTCAACTCAACTAAATCATTCATTTTTTTTAAATAGTGAAATTTATAACTGAAAGTGTCTAGGGTATGTTTTAAAATCAGTGGTGTAAAAAGTTAAAACCAATTTTACTGTCAACAAATTACACTGATTCAGATGATTTTGGAATTGTTTTTGAAGTTTTAAATTCTTGTCATTAAAACTTACGTTTGTGAGCTTCTAATGGAGTTCATTTTCAGTGGCGTATATTCCTTTCTGCTAATGTGTAAATGAAGTCACAGATTTAACCAGAGGTGCAAAGTGTGGGTAGACAAGGAGCTTCCTCTCGATAGGTCGGGGGGGGGGGTGAAGCTCAGGCATCGACAATTTTAATTTGACAAGTGAATAAAATATTAAAGACATATCTCAGTTATATCATGATGTACGTGTAACTCTGCTAAGGAAATATGGAAATTTTCTTACTGAATGAAATTCCGTCAAAATGTTGAATTTCCTACTTACCCAATATAACTCAAGTTATCAATTTCGTTTCCTGCTTGTATTATGGACTCCTGTTGCTTTCGATGAAATTTTCTGAAAAGACTTGAAATTAATAACACTTGAACTTTGGCTTAAGATATTTTTAGCTATGGGATTTACGAGGGTTTTCCGTCACGTTCGTGGACAACATTGATAATAACTAACAAACATTGATTAAATTTATTAAATTATTATTTTCATTAAATTGATGTTTAATTTTATACATATGCAAATTTTAAACAAATCATGACTCCCGGGGGTAGGACGGGGCCACTATTGTTGATCAAAGTTTTACCTAGAAATATATAGGAAAATTTTTAAAAAATCTTCTTTTCAAGAACCACTTTGCCAGGAAAAATGAAACTTATATGGAAACATCTTTAGGAAGTGTAGATTCAAGTTTGTTCAAATCATGACCCCCAGGGGCAGGGCAGGGCAGGGCCACGATGGCAAATGAAAGTTTTACATAGAAATGCATTTATATAGAAAAAATCTTTAAAAATCTTTTTTTCAAGAATAGCAAAAGCATGAATGATCATATTCATATGGAAGCAATCTCAGGTAGTGGAGATTCAAGTTTTTTCAAATCGTGACCCCGGGGGGTAGGGGGTGGGGGGGGGGGCTTCAATGGCCGATCAAAGTTTTACAATGAAATACATGTATATAGGAAAAATCTTTAAAAATCTTCTCAAGAATAGCAAAGGCATGATTGATCATATTTATATAGATAAGCATCCCAGGTGTGGAGATTCAGATTTGTTCAAATCATGACCCCTGGGGGTAGGGTAGGGCCACAATGGCTGATCAAAGTTTTACAATGAAATATATAGATTTTTTTTAAATCTTCAAGAATAGCAAAGACATGTTCAGTCATATTTATATGGAAGCATTCTCAGGTAGTGTAGATTCAAGTTTGATCAAATCATGACCCCTGGGGGTAGGGTGGGGCCACAACATGGAATCAAAGTTTTACATAGAAACATAAAAAATCTTTAAAAATCTTCTTTTCAATAATGGGAAAGCCATGATTAGTCATATTCATATGGAAGCATTCTCAGGTAGTTAGATTCTAGTTTGTACAATTGATGACCCTGGGTGTAGGGCGGAGCATCAATGCAAATGTAAAGGGCAATAAAGCTACAGGTAGTCAAAGAAATATGCTAGCATCCTTAGTTAGCGTAGATTCAAGTTTCTTTAAATCATACCCTCTCCCCTTTAAGGATTGTTTGAGACCACTATTGAGTTTTTATTTATTGATTCGATTGAAATCTTGAAATAATTAAAAAATAATCAAAATAATTGCATATGAAAACCCGGTATGTTTTTACTTCCGGCCCACGGTGCCAGTCATTCCCCTGCCAGTATTCCCTCTTGCCCGATCAACAACACATCTTTAGACCCAAACTACGTAGTCATATATGAATAATATAATAGAAAATATGGCATTTGGTGTAAATATTTATTTATCTACCAAATTAGAAATCGGCAAAATACCTTGGATCAAATCAAAGCAGAAAAAAAGATTTTAAGAAAATTTATTAATATATTATAGAAGTAGACCACTAATGGCAATAATGCTTCGAATTTAAGTATATAGAAAAAACATAGATTGGAACTTTCTTATATGAATAGAATATTGTTCATGTGCTGAATGTTAACAGTTTCAGCATTGCGTTGTGTAAGAAACAATGTTACCTTTAACTATTCTGATCAATATCTGTAAGACGTGACTAAAGTTTAAATGCATTAGTGTTCTGAATTTCAATGAAATGCATTAAAATTTGAGCATAATAATGGAGTTGATGACAGGAAAATTCTTCTATTTAGATTTCTAAAATCCATAGTTTTTTGAAACAAGATTAGAAAAAAACATGATCAGCATATGTGCTATGTAAATACATGTAGTGCTTTACCAAACCTTGATAGCGACAAGAAATGTTTGTAAAACACTTATACCCCTTACCCCCTAAATTGGAATTTTTCAAAGTCCAAAAGGGCATAATTCTGTCAAAAATCGCACGATCGTACCCAAAACAGAACTCGATCTAGATAGTCATCTGATAAATCTGTATACCAAATTTCATTTTATTATGTGCAACGGTTGTGAAGAAAATGAACGGAAACTAAGTGGACCGACAGACAGCAGCAAATCAATATGCCCTTCCTTCTTCGAAGGGGGGCATAATAAATAAAAACGAAAATATTTTTTTTTAAATGCTATGTTTATACATATAGTGCTTTACCAAACCTTGATAGTAATAAATATAAACGGAAAAAAGCTATGTTTATACATGTAGTGCATTACCAAACCTTGATAGCAATGAATATATACGGAAATAAATTAAAAATTCTATGTTTATACATGTAGTGCTTTACCAAACCTTGATAGCAATTAAATATAAATGAAAATAAATAATAAAAACAGTGTAATTGAGTTAGAGGGTGAAATTCGAACATGATCTGCAACTCTTCTATGTGAAAATGTAAGTGATAAATTATTCAGAATGGTAATACATGTACTTAAAAAATAAATAAACAAATAAAAAAATAAATAAATAAATAAATAAAACACTGGCTGAGTACCGAAACTGTCTTAGATTTTCCAAAGGTTCTGTGGCATTGGAGGAACAAGACTCGATCCAGCATTCTAGATGTTTTGTGACACATAATGAGGTATATAATGAGTGCAGAAAAGTTAATGGAGGATTTTAGTGGTAGGAGTAAAATATGACACCCTCCCTCCAGAGAATGACGACAGTTATTAGAATGACATGATGAAGAAAAAGAGGGTCGACTGATAGTATCTTCCTCTGAATTAGTTCATATCTTCATATAAATCTATCTCACAATTGCAGTCTTGTGCAGTTTGTTGACTGAAGTCATTACATGCAAACACTAGACTGCAATCCTCTTTAAAGGCATGAACAATTCTGTTCCCACTATGCCAGAGTCAACAGTCTTATACATAGAAAACATTTTGTAAAAGCTATGCTCGAAACAATGCCATTTGGCAAAATTTGATTGACTGATTTTTCATCAAAATTGTTAGGCCATTTTTATCACACTGAATTGTCTACTGGTTTCTCCTTTTCCATGATCATGCAGGGAACCATAACACTTTGTCAGAATGGATTAAGTGTATCGGTTCTATGTAACAATGGCGTATTAAATGATTGAAATTGAGAGGCAATATGAAAACCATATCCATATGTATTCAATAACCCTGAAGTGAAAAAAAGAATTAAATTACATGATCAGTACGTACTGGTCCTTGCTGACAAAGCAGGTAACAACACTGTCTTTGTAAGATCACTGTATAAATTGTATTTTAGAAGATCTTTGATTTTATTCTACAAGTGGTAATCTAACTTATACTCATAGTTCCCTTTCTAAGGAAGAAACTTGTCAAAATCATACGTCAGTTTTGAATATTATTAATATCCCAAACAACAAAATGAATTTGAAATATCATATATATACTGGATTCCAAAACGTCATAAAAAAATCCGTACAAAGAAACATAGCCGGTTCCAAAAATGTTCAACAAAGCCTCTTATTTTACTCCTCACAAAAATACTAACAGTAGTGAAGGATATAAACTTCAAGAATTGTTTGCATACTTCTGTTTCAATTTACTTGGATATTTTACTTGAAAAAGACACTAATGGTAATCTAACAACCAAGCTATATGATAAACGTGATGACTTTAATTTTTCTATCGTCAACTTCCCTTACTTATGCAGCAATATACCTTCATCACCTGCATACGAAGTATATATATCTCAGTTGATTCGATACGCAAGAGCATGCTCTACTTATGAACAATTTCTAAAACGGGGTAAATACTGAAAAGACAAGTTGAAGAAACAAGAATATCAGCAATCTCGTTTAAAGTCATCATTTCGTAAGTTCTATGGTCAATACAATGAGCTTGTCAGCAAATACAATTTATCATTGAGTCAAATGCTGACTGAAGTTTTTCACACCATTTGTTAGTCCATTATTTAAACACTGAATTGACTACGGATTTTTTCCGTAATTTCCCGATCATGACAAGGAGCACACGGCGGATGTGACAGGTTGGCAGGGGTTGCTCACTCCTCCATGGCACCTGATCCCACCTCTGATGTTTTGGAGGTCCGTGTTTGCTCTGCTCGTATTTTGTATTGTTTTATGGACTTTGAAACTGAATACTGTTCGTTATCTCCACATCTTTCTTGCAACAATATATTCGACAAGTGGTATGAATCAGATGTAGATACTTAAATATTCAAAGGAACGTTTGGAAAATTTGATTTAAAAAATCTTAGTGTACAAACAAGTACTCTGAAGTTGACATCAAAATGATGCTTGCGTTTCTGATGGACAATAACTTCGTGGATTTTGGAGATAAAGGTCTATCAACAATGTATTAGAATTCCCATGGGTACTAATTGCAACCCATTTTTAACAGACATTATTTTGTTTTTCATATGAAACAGATTTGTCCAAAATATTATACGTGAAAAGAAGGAAACACTTGCTGAGGCTGTCAACTCGACATTTAAATATATCGACTACGTATTGTCAATTAACAATTATGGTTATTTCCATTCTTAAATTATGTCGAAACGATATATTTCAGTGAGCTTGAGTGAAAAGATACCTCAGAATCTGACACATCTGTTTCATATTTGAATATTTTACTTGAAAAAGAGTTAATGGGTATCCAACA